GTTCTTTTGGAACAATAATTCAATCGTTCTAAATGAACAATTCTTTTATCATTCTTTTGGAATAATAATTTGCAATCTGAAACTGAACTGAAGTTGATCTGAACTGAAAATTTTCAGATTAATCTAAACCATTTAGAGCTTTACTTCTATTATTATTTTTATCAAATAATTTGTTAAAAATATGTTCTGAGAATGCTTCATTTCTAATCTATTTAGATTACATATCTTATCAAAACATACATACATTTACCAAATTAATTAGCTTATTTTCTTATTTTCATTTAATAACAATATAGCATCATAAATCGCATTTTACACTGCATCTTTTTTTAAAAGAATGAAATTTAAAGACTTTTAGAAATACTACTAACTTTTGAAGTTCTTAAAATACATCATTTATTCTTATATGTTTTTCCACTCTTATGCTTAAGATGTGATGCTATTGATGAAGGCTTTTATCACATATAAATGTGTCTCATTGTTTATATGAAATAAACAAATTATTCTCTACTTTAAATCTTACCTAAAGAGATTATCAATGCATAAGATTACGAAATTGATCAGTTAAATTATTAAATACTTTCAACTTACAATACCTTTTCATTTTTTGCTCTTATTAGAGGAATTGTTCTAATTCCCCTTTTTAAATTTATTTATAGTAAACTTACTTCTTAACTCATAGCTTTAGCTGCTTACTTTTCTTTATGCATTTAATTTTTGAAAATTTAGAATGATTACTGTAAAATAGTTCATGACTTTGAAAAGTCTTTTAATATTACCTTTGATCTCAAAATTGCTAATTTTACTACTTAAATTATGATATTTCCTTTAACCCTCAACTCATTCTTTTAGCTCTTTTTCATTACTTTCCATAGTTCAGATAAGATCTCATTGGTCAAATTTTTGATATAGTAGTAGTTTCATTTTCTTTATAGTTCTTTTTATTATTATCTAAAAGATCATTTTCTTAGCTTAAGTTAAGTCTTAATTTTAGAAAAATGCAGAATTAGTCTTCTATAGATTAGTCTTAGATTAGTTCTTTATGAGATTCTTGTAATTTCTTTTAATTTGTATTTTATTTTATATATTTTACTTTTTCATAATAAAGATATTGCAGAATTAATGCACTTTAAAAAAAATCTATCTAAAAAATCAAGAGATTAGCAATTCTAGTTTAGTTAGTAATTATTGAATTTTTATTGTAAGTTACACTGCAATAGTCACAGGTTCAGGTCTTAGCTGAGGCATAAAATAAATGATTTTCTTAAGAATTTTATATGTAACTGAATATATGGACATATATACTAATATGTATTTATAATTAGTTAATTAATTTATTAATTAACATTAATTTTATTTAAATACTAGATTTGAAAAATATGTAGATACAAATGAAATTAGAAATTGACAGAAACTTAGCCTTTGCTAATCGATGTAATAGATACTATCTCACATTTTTAAATTTAAGGATTCTTACACAAGTAAGGAAGTAGTTAACTAATAATTAGTAGATTAGGTATTACCTTTAAGTAGCATTGATAGCTGTAACATCATCCAATCGAGCTATTATTTAGTGTAGAGGTTAAGTCAATTCTTGAGTGATTTTAATAATATGAATATAACAGTTACCTACCTTTTTAAGATTCTATAAAGATGATAACATTTAAGTCTTTTTAATGTATAATATATCTGATATTAGACAGAAATAATAGTGATATTTATTGGTATTAGTAAGTATAGGAAAAAAGTGACGTAAGTATCTGTAGTTGAAAGTGATCCTTTTATCTAAATTTGACAGTGATTCTGAGATCTAGAATCCCTAGAAGTTCGCTCTTAAGGGTGTCATCTAAAGGCAAACCTTGGATCAATATTAAAATAGGCAAATTCTGGTTAAAACTTGTGTCTAATCATAACTCATAGGTTTGAAGATTAATATTGAGCTATTTTATAATCAAGCCTTAGATTAGTATTAAAATAGGCAGGTTCTAGTTAGAATTTAAATATAATTACAACTTTATAGGTCTAAAGATTAGTATTAGACTACTTTGTAGTCTTAAATATACATATAATCGTTAGTAAATTTTCTAGTATTTCAGGTAAAATTACTAGATAAAACTTAAAGATTTTGCAAGTCGTCTAAATAGAAAAAAATAAAATTTAATAAAATTATATTAAAATCTTATTAAAAAATCTACAAAATTCTGAAAAAGAAAAAACTATATCAAAGCTTATAAAAATGTAAACTATATCAAAACCTTAGTGAAAATTTAGTGAAATTATAGTTTAAATATTTTGCCAAATCTAAATGAATTTAGATAAGCAACCTTAGTTTTAGATATGCAATTATAAAAAAATCTATGTAAAAGATCAAAAAAACTCTTTCTACTAATCACCAACATGCCCAAAAAATTGCAAAAATCTAACAACTGCAATTACTTTACGTTATTTTCTTCAAATAGACAACTAGCCAAAAGCAAATTATTACTCAAACTTTTGACTCTTTATTTATTTCTAAATTGCTAAAATGTTTATAGAACTTATTTTTTCCAAAGATACCAACACTATAGAAGTTGACTCACTTATGAAAAATTCAATTAACAACACTGATAAAGAAAAAAATAAAGAAATTAAAACAATTATTCTACCTTTTAAAATAATATTATAAATATTAATGGTCTATTAAACGTGTCAAAATATCCTTGACAGTACCTCTGTTACATTTGCTTAATACTCTAAACAGTTTGGTTCAGTCCAGATTATAGGTCAATCCGAAACTGATCTGAAAATTTCGGTTCAGTTCAGTTCAGATTATAAATCCTAAAAGTGCCAATCTGAAACTGAACTGAACCGTAAACTGGTAAAAATCTGAATCGAACTGAAAATTTTGGATTAATCTGAAATTTTAGATCATTTGGAATGATTCTTTTATCGTTCTTTTGGAATGATAACTTCAATCGTTCTAAATGAACGATTTTCTTATCATTCGTTTGGAACGATAACTTCAATTGTTCTAAATGAATGATTTTTTTATTGTTCGTTTAAAACGATAATTTAATCGTTCCAATCGAATGATTTTTTTATCGTTCGTTTAGAATGATAATTTAATCATTCTAATCGAACGATTCTTTTATAGTTTGTTTGAAACGATAACTTCAATCGTTCTAAATGAACGATTTTCTTATCGTTCGTTTAGAACAATAATTTCAATCATTCTAATTGAACGATTTTTTTATCGTTCATTTAGAACGATAACTTTAATCGTTCCAATCGAATGATTCTTTTATCATTCATTTAGAATGATAATTTGATCATTCTAATCGAACGATTTTCTTATCATTCATTTGAAATGATAATTTGATCATTTCAATCGAACGATTTTCTTATCGTTCGTTTGGAATGATAACTTTAATCATTCTAAACGAATGATTCTTTTATCGTTCATTTGGAACGATAATTTGATCGTTCCAATCGAACGATTTTCTTATCGTTCGTTTGGAACGATAACTTCAATTATTCCAAATGAATGATTTTTTTATCATTCATTTAGAACAATAATTTCATCATTCCAATCGAACGATTTTCTTATCGTTCATTTGAAACGATAATTTTAATCATTTCAAATGAATGATTCTTTTATCGTTTATTTGGAATGATAATTTAATCGTTCTAATCGAACAATCCTTTTATCATTCATTTAAAACAATAATTTCATCGTTCTAAATGATCTGAAATTTTAGATTAATCCGAAATTTTCAGAATCTGAAATCGAACCGAAGTTGATCTGAACTGAAAATTTTCAGATTAATCTGAACTGTTCAGAGCTTTACATTTGCTATGTCTGTTCTTAGCATTAAAAATTTTTTGTCTATTTTTCTCTTGAAAAATACTCTAATACAAACCTCTAATAGAAGATTACTAAAATTATAAATAAATATTGCTTTGATTATACATCTTTTGCATATATAATGCGTGAAAAACTTTCTGCAGATTTTTTTATTAATATTCTTAAAATTACTTTTTTAGACTCTAGTGAATGAAATAATTTTTGCAAAATGTATATTTCAAATACAGATAAGACTACATTTTTATCTCTTGTAATATAAAAATTACATCTCTTTATTTTAAAACAGTTGATAACAGTAATTAAAATCCTATTAGACACTATTATTAAATGAATAAAAAATTTTCTGATATAGTATTATTGTCAAATGCACTATAAAAATCTAAAATTTATAGTAATGTACCACTATTATATTTGGTGAAAAAGTTAAATTTAAAGAACTTAAAAGTATAGATAGCTTATTATTAATTAAAGATTCTATTTAAAATCTACATATAATCTGAATAGAAAAAAAATCTAAAATTGATCTAAATTTTCTATCAAACTTACAAATCTATCAAGAGGAATTATGATACGTGACTTTCTAGATATGATTGAATAGTTAATGTTATAGATTAGATTATTTTATAGATAAAATCAAATTATAATTACTTTCAACACGTATATTTTTATTTTCATAATGCTGATAAAGCTAAAACAGTCTTTATTACTAACAATTTAACTCTTAATAACAAAATTTAAAATTAAAAAAATTTTAATAAATATTATTAATTAACTTTAAAAATTATAAAGATTAGATATTTATGACGCTATTATAAGTTATAAAGTGAATTATTTTTAACATATGTTTAATACATATACATGTAAAATCTTACACATATTTCTTTATTTGTTTTTTTTTAAAGATTAATAAAGTTAGAACTTAAAAAGAATATTAAAAATAATTTAATAAATATGAATCTATAAGTATAATTCTAAAATATATATTATCATTAATCTCTTTATAATATTTAAAAATATTTACTAAACTAAATTAATTAATTTCTTGAAATATCAAAAGATTAAAATTTATAAAAAGTTTAATAAAAATAAAGAAATACTTAGTATAAACAAGATTTAAAATAGAAATATATTATAAATATAAAGGTAAAGTAAAGATCTAAAAGTCGCTAAGTTTAACATAAAGATATATATTAAGAAATCTAGTAAATCTTTGTGAAGATATATTTAGCACTTTTTTGAATATTATATACTTTACAAATAAGGTTGTGACTTGTTAATAAATATATTTTCAATGTTTAAAAAAGATTTAAAAACTATTAGGAACTGTTAATTTTAAAGGAAGAATTTGCAAATAATCAAAAAAATTTGACTTATATCATTTATGCAGATGTTTATATTCCTCTCTGAAATGCTTTAAGTTCAATAACAAATATTATATTAAACTATATTTTCAAATTAATCTTATTAGTCTATTTCTTTATTATATTATACTATTTTTACTTTTTATAAGATTAATAACTTCTAAAAAATGCAAAAAATTCAGAATAAAGTCTAATTAAATCAGCTGAATTATGATTTAGATAAGATATATCTTAAGATATAATATATTTATACATGTATTATTTAAAATCTTTTGTATCTATACCATATTATAGTGATGATAAACGACTCAAATAACTAGTCATGTGTCATTTAGATCATTTTAATATTAAATGATAATGATTTAATCATTTAAAAATTATATCATGTGATCTTAAAAATTATGATTAAAATAATTAATATAATTTAATATTTTCATAAATATTCTATATGATATAATATGTAATTCTAGCCAATATATAAAATTTGGTTTGTATTACATTTAAATAATTAAATGACTTTAAATGATCAGGTCATTCAAAGATCATTTAGAAGTTATTTTAAAATGGTCAAATGATCTGATTATTTACTAGTACTGCTATACTGTACTTAATTTTTTCTTTTTTTAGAATGAATTAATATTATTTAAAACAAATTTCTTTTAAAGACTAATAACTTTAATAAGTATATCTTAAGATCTGATATATTTATTTATATATTCTTCTGAATTTTCTTGTCTAATATCTTATAATTGTTTCTTTAGATAAAGATTTGTAAGATATTTAAAAAGAAATTTTAGTTAGATATAATGTTAAAAGTATCATTGATGCTTTTAAATTTTATAGAAATAATAATAATAATAATAATATATTAATAAAAAGAATAATATATCTTATTCCTAAAAGTTATTTCATTTAGTAATTTTCTTTTCTTGAATTGTTAAATCAATATGATAAATTAATTCTAAATAAAATAATATAATGTTTTTGGTTGATTTTTTTTATAAATAATGATAAATTGTATTATAAGCAGTTTTTTTTTAATATGTGATTTTTTTTGATATTAAGAAATTAACTTATAATAGATTAAATAAGATAAAAAGCTATTCTTAACATTTCAAAGTGTAATAAAAACATAAATTAATTAAAGATATCACATCAAAATGCAATAATTTTTTTATTTTTTATTGAATAAATTTACAAAGTTTTAATTATTAAATAGCATTTAGAAAATTTATTATTATAATAATTAAAGTTCTAAAAAATGATTTGTATAAACTTGTATATTAATTCACATAATTTGTAAATTTATATTTAAGTATAATCTAACTTAAGGTTTTTCTATTTTTCTTTCTTTCTTTGATTTATAACTTGATTTTATTAAAAGCTCTAAATAAATCATAATAAAATTTAAATATTATATTATAAGTAATAAAATTATTCTTATAGAAATTTTGAGTTGATATAAAAAAAGTATTCAATATGTTAAGTTTAAAACAAATCAATGTTTTAAAAAAAATTATTACTTTAAAATCTACTAATTCTCTCTTATAACCTAGAATATAATAAGTATCCTTAAAAAGTTTTAAGAATATTATAATTAAAAAAAAAATTTATCAAACTAGATAAATGTTAAAACAATATTTAATTCTTCTCAAGTTGTTTATAATATTGTTATATGATTAAATCTTTATAAATTACTATATTCCAAACCAAATGCATGTTTATTATCTGATTGCAAAAAGAATGTGAATATCATAAAAAAAATCCTAATTAAGTTATATTATATTATTATTTTTGCTAATAAATTATAAGTTTTCGCAATAGAAGCATAGCTGTCTGAAGATATTATAAATCATAAAGATTTCTTATATTTAAACCGAATGAGACACGAGAGGACCGTGTTTTTAACGATTTATCCGATAACTTTTCAAAGCAAGCTTTTACCGAAAGCTATTAACAGAAACAATCAATTAGGAACAGAGATTATATAATAATATTAATATTGTGCAGAACTCAAATTTAAATACTCACAGCCCATTTTAAAATTGACTCGTAAAAAAAAATAAATTCTTCCATTTCCGAGAAATCTCTTGGAATTGTGGCGTTGTCGATTTCTTTGATATAATAATAACCTATCCATAATACAATATAAGTCTTTGTTTCACAATACAATAATTTGCTATAATGAAAATCAAAAAGATACCTACCGGTAAAACCAAGAGCATACAAATGTATGTTAAGTTTTATACTAGCAACACCAAAAACTTCCATATCCGGTATTATCAATTTCCTCTTCTCCACCCGATCTTTAACAATGTTTAATAACATATTTTTGAGGTTCTTGATTATTTTATTTCTATCATCAAGTTCTTTGCTTGCTTTAACTTTATAAGGGCGTGAACCTTCAACGTAAACAAGCTGATATTTGTTAGAGTCGATCGTAAACCCAACGCCATCTCCCTTTTGTCGGTTGATATGATTTATTGATGGAATTTCGCCGCTATTTACGTTTAGCAAAATTAATGAAATTATATTTTGACCCATTAACATAATATTTAAAAGAAAAATAACTTACGAAGTATAATAAATGTCAGCACAACTCCATAAAGCTGACTTTATACACGGGTGTATATAGTCATTAAGATGAGGTTGTTCAAGAGCTTCGATATTATGGAGTGGATTCATATGTTCCAAGGCGAAAGCTTGCAAGCTAAAGATCAAAAATAAGATAAGCAAAAGAAAAAAATAAAATGCGAGATAAATTTGAACATACACAATACATACAAATTATCAAGTGATCTAGTAATTATCTTTATTATCATTTTAGTGGTCTCTTCCTTGTACTCTTTGATATTCAAATTATCTACAGCATTTGACCACTGCTTATAAGTTAATTTCTTATTATTAAAAAAAAAAACACGCATAAGCATATTAGGAGATGATTGCAATTAAAACCGCTTGTAATACTATTTATCCTTACTTGTGAAAAAAAATCAACCAGAAATTTGTGCGTTTCATCCGGGATTAATTGATCATATTGATTTAATGATTCAAGAAAACTTTTATAAACATCTTCGGGAAGTTGCCGAACGAAACGACTTTTGTGTGTAAGGTCCATTATTCCTTCTGTTGATACATCATCATCATTACTGTTATCCTTATAAAGTTCAAAAGCATCAATGATGCTTTTAACGTTACGTTCAACCAGAATTTCTTTTTTGAGAATTCCATGGATCTTTATCTAAAGAAACAATTGTAAAAAATCATACGGGAAAATACATATAAATATATCAGTTCTTAAGATATACCTTATCTAAATTATCAGTTTGCTGTTCTATTTCAATTTCGTTCTGAATTTCTTCAGATGATATTAATTCATCCTAAAAAAGAAAAAAAGAGTAAGTACAATACGGTACGGACAAACGGAAGATTCAAAAGAATCATGTATAAATATATCAGATCTTAAGATGTACCATATCTGATTCATCGGTCTGCTGTTCTAATTCGACCTCGTTCTGAATTTCTTGCAATCTCCAAAATTCAATTACTTCAGATGAAATTAATTCATCCTAAAAAGGAAAAAAAGTAAGTACGGTACGGTAACGGCCAAGTAATGTACTAATAAGATCAATTTGAAAATGTAGTTTAACACAACGCTTGCTGTCCCCTGAAGCATGTCAGAAGAAAAAACAAACGCCCGCATGAACAGATGATAGGTCAAGTTTCTTTGACTGTTTGGGAAAGATGCGTAGCAATTTCCTCCCTCAAAAGTCCCCAAAATAGGATATTCAAAAAAAAACCTTTTCCAAACACTGAAATACGCTTATTGACAAGCTTTAACACGTACCTTTAAATTAAGCTTAGCGACTTTTACGACCTTTGCTTTACTTCCGTATTTATAATGCCTTCCTATCTGCTTTAAATCATGTTTATACCGAAGTATTTCATTATTTTTATCAACCTTTTCATGAACTTTGGTCTTGCGATATTTCAAGAAATCAATTAAACTTGGTTTGGTGACGTTTTGCCAATAATCTTCAAACATTATAAAGAGGTTAGTGAAGACATACATTTCAGTACTGCACCAATAGAATCATATTTACCAGGCTCTTTCAAGTTTTCTCTAACATCCTTTCTAAGTCTCATCTTTATTAATCTTTTAAAGGAAGAATGGGTGAATAAAGAATATGTATAGGATTTTTACACGTAAACGCGTCAAAACGCGTGTTAAAAATGGTTCACCCCGTGACTTAAGGTAACTCGTCGGTGACACGACGATCATAATTAGCAGAACAAATAATAGGAGAATTTATGATTCTAATTAGATATCAGAAAACTTCAAGTAAGATAAAACGTTCGTAACATTTCTTAAAATCCTAAATCGAGAAGAATACACCCCGAGAAATATATATTTATGGTATATCAATGTAAGAAAATTCAATAAATTATTATTCTTTATAAAAAAACATCTCAAATCCTTTTTAACAATAAAAAAAAAATTCTTATCATAATAATACTACATAATAAAAATAAAAGTATTGAACCAATTTTATTATTTAAACTAACATAAGCATTAAGGTAAATATATTGTAAAATTATTGCTTTATAAATTAAGTAAATTAGTCAAAAAAGTTGTTACATAAAAGTAGGGATGTTAACGGTTCGACCAGTTCGGTTTCGAGTTTAGACCGAAATTTAGACCGGAGTTTATATATACAGGTTATTGTAAAATCTTTGACGAAACTATAAAAAAATTGTGCGATACTCAACATTCCCAATACAAAAATTTTATTATAATACAAAT